AAAATAAAATAAAAAATAAAAAATAAAAAAAACAACATTAAACAAAATTGCTGCGGCTGCGGAACCTTCTGCGCCGCAGCAGTGTATATATATATATATATATATATATATATATATATATATATATATATATATATATATATATATATATATATATATATAATTATGTATATATAATTAAATATTTAATTGGTAAAAAATAAAATTCTGAAAATTTACCTTTGATGTCGCAGAAAGATTTGCTTGATTTTAATGTTGATGATGCTTTAATTTGATCTGGCTGGAAAACTTGTTTGATTTTGATGTTGATGATGAAGAAATCGATGATGATGATGAAGGAATCGGGAAGGATAGAATGATACGTAGGGAGAGAACGGCGAGAAAGATATGGTTAAAATTGAAAAAAAAAATATATTCTATTCCTGAGGACTCAGGAATAAGTTAATACCAGGGGGGGCCCTGGTATTAGCTATTACCTCATCTGAGGTAATAGCCTATTACTAGGAACAGTATTCCTAGTAATACACATTGTTACCAAACAGAAGAATAGGTCTGTTACTGGGAATGCTATGCCATTCCAGTCTATTCCGTGAACCAAACGGACCATTAGAGTGATCATCTTAACTTGTCATTCTTAAAACTTCAACTTAGAGATCTTTCCTTAACATGTCCTCCCTAGGACTTTTACTTGGAGTTTCTATACTCAATCCTAAGAGTCAAACTTCCTAAGTCTCCCGCGGTTCGTGCCGCTCTGATACCAATTTGTAACACCCCACTTTTTCTAAAACTTAATTACAATTCTAAACCATAATTAACATAACTAAGCAGCGGATAAACAACTTAAATAAGATAACTAGTGGGAGTGCCACCGCCACAACCACCACTCCGTAGTGATTGCACAGGCTAAGGGTAGAATTAGAAAATAAATAACTAACTAACCATCCATCCAACTTAATTAAACATAAGGGGAATAAACACACTCCGATGTCTACGTCATCGAAAAACAACAAAACATCACGAGTCTAACATCCGATAGATAGAGTCATAAGTAAGACATAAAGAGTTTAGACTTCTAAACTAATAGACTAGTCTAACTCAATCACTTCACAACGCTGGGCCCACCTGAAAGGGGTTTTACAAGCAACACATAGACAAATAGGAAAACACCCGTTAGCTCGAAGCTAAGCATAACCACATTCAACCATGTAAAGTACTATAGAATATACTTTGGAAAAACATTTGATAACATTCGTATACCATAGACTCATTTCATAGGGAACTATAATCATAACACAGACTTTTTATATGCTTGCATCCTATAATATAAACAGGCATGCTTCGATACAAAGACTTAACGACTTAGATATTTCAACAATTAATCATCACAACAAACTCATCAAACAACTCATGCTTACACGTAATATCTTACTAATAGATCATACGACGTTTTCTTCATGCTCTCAAATTCTCATCATGTAAACTGGATATACAAGACTTGACATGTAACTAAACAATCATGCTCGATATACAATCTTAAATCAACATTCTCATTATGCAATCTCATGCGATACTCTTACTCAAATGCAATCTCGTGCAATACTATTCTCATTTACAATCGCGTACAGTGCTATAAATATACTCATATGCAATCTCATGCAATACTATAAACATACTCATATGCAATCTCATGCAATACTATAAACATACTCATATGCAATCTCGTGCAATACTATAAACATACTCATATGCAATCTCGTGCAATACTATACTCGTATGCAATCTCGTGCAATACTATACTCATACTCATATGCAATCTCGTGCAATACTATACTCGTATGCAATCTCGTGCAATACTATACTCATTCTCATATGCAATCTCGCGCAATACTATAAATATACTCATACACTCGTTGTAAAAATAGAATACTTTCTGTGGAGGTCTCATTGAGTCATAAATGACTTGTTTTCTTTCTTTCTTTCCTTGGAGTCGCAATGACTCACTTCTTTCTTTCTTAGAGTCGCAATGACTCATTCTTTCTCTTTTAGAGTTGCATTGACTCATTCTTTCTCTTTAAATGAACGAGGTAGGAACTTCATCATATTGTGAATGAACCTATCCGGGCACGGCTTCTAGCCGACCTAATACTCTGCTCGTCCACCGAACCACTCTCTTGGTTCTATGCTCAAATTCTGTGGAATCAGGTATCAAACTATTAGTGTGCACACCCCTGACCAGGATTCCAAGCCTGGTGGGCAGTTTCCAACCTCGTAACGTGGGAATACACCGCGTTACATATACTAGGACCGCAATGTCCATAAAATCATCCGAGAGGACATAGTCCAAACGAGGTCCTCCAAAACCTCACCAATATAGATAATACATAAATATATCTCTCATGCATCAATCTCATGCATGCAACAACTCTACAACTTCTCAATGCATCAACTAATGATATGCCACATACTTATGGATTTTAAAAGTAATACTTGGGCTCATGTTGGCCACTTATGCATTTTTGAAATATGATATATGTGAGATGCAAAATACTCTACAACATGCTCCAAATCCATGTATATAGTCCATACAATTCTCAAGGATACAATATCATACTCAGTTTGCAACATAGCAAATTCTATACATTTCTAACAACAAAATATGTTTCGAAACTCATTGATCAAATATCACATTTTAGTCATGCTTTTATAATAAATCACATTCTCAAGTGATCATGCTTCTCTACTCAATACAAATAAAACATCAGACAACAAGGCAAAACATTTCTTCTTCACAGTGAACTTCAAATACTCATACTATGTAACAAAACCACTACTAAATCCATCATAACATGCTCATTTTTAACCCAAATTCAACTAAGCCAAAGCCAAAACGTGCGTCGAGACGATCCCGAGCCACAAGGGCCCGTGACATCTTGTGACATCCCGATATTTTAAAACAACTCTATTTTAATAAGCTATTCCCGAAAATAAAATATTTTTCAATCCTAAATATTTTAGCCTGAATACATTCAAAATAAATTATTTTACTTCAGAATTTAAATAAGCTAATTTATAGCTCGTAATTTATTTATCCAAAGTCTATCTGAGATGAGCCTGCCACAATTATATTTATAACTATCAAAGCATTGAGCCCATATCTATTTAGATTCCTAGTCCATTAAAATTTTGGGGAGCCCAAAAATACTCTAGGCCCATGACCCAAAATCATAAAATCATAATTTTATCCTACACCCTACCTGGTCGCAAATTATGCTGTGCAACCGAATGCACCTTGCAAGGTGCATACGGTTGCAAAACGGCGCCGTTTTGGTTAAAAAAAACGCGCGTCCCACTTAAAGAAGAAATCAGGTTCGATTCCCGGCAATAACATTTTTATATATCCAAAAATTCATAACTATATAACCACAATTTCATAACTATATATCCACAATTTCATAATTGTACTATATATCCACAGTGAATGAATGAAGTAAAAATCCACAATGAATGAATGAATGAAGTAAAAATCCACAATGAATGAACTAAATATCCACAATATATGATTGAACTAAATATCCACAATGAATGAACTAAATATCCATAAATTCATAACTATATAACCACAATTTCATAACTATATATCCACAATTTCATAACTATATATCCACAGTGAATGAATGAAGGAAAAATCCACAATGAATGAATGAATGAAGTAAAAATCCACAATGAATGAATGAATGAAGTAAAAATCCACAATGAATGAACTAAATATCCACAATATATGATTGAACTAAATATCCACAATGAATGAACTAAATATCCATAAATTCATAACTATATAACCACAATTTCATAACTATATATCCACAATTTCATAACTATATATCCACAATAATGCTATTGCTTAGAGTCGAACCTGATTTTTTTTTTTTTTTAAAGTGGGACGCCCGTTTTTAATCAAAACGACGTCGTTTTGAACCGTATGCACCATGCGCATGGTACATTCGGTTGCACAGCATAACTATTGCTACCTGGTATTGTTTATTCCATTTTCCTCACCTTAGATTTGCCTCTTCCCCCGTGTTGTGTCTCTCTCCCACAACCAATCAAAAACCAGCAGCCACTCATCTTTTACTTCTCCCGTCGGCAATCTAGCAACGGCGGCGGAGCATCTTTGTCTCGCAGACCGGCGGTGGTAGATAGTGGAGCTTAGTAGTAGCACCGGCGGTGGATGGCGACCTCTTTGCAGCAGCAGATCTGTCGGACAGTATCTCCTCCGACGTGCGTAGGTCGGCGTCTCCTATTGCCGGCAAGGAGGAGCGGTGGCTGGTCGCTCCGACGAAGTTTGGCGGTGACTTCCCGGTGTGCAGTGACTGCGGTAGCGATCTCCGGTGACGAAGCAGTGGCGACCTTTGTTTCCTTTCCCGGCGAAGCTCTCCGACGGTGGTGGTGGTCTGTGAAACAAAAGAAGAAGCTTATGAAATTATTGGACAATGATGATATTCTGTTGATGAGGGTGATGATGCATGTGGGTTGATTTATTTAAAAATTGGTAGATTGAAGAGGATGATGCTGATTAAATCATGAGGTAATGACGATGAGGTTTGATAATGGATGGTGACGGCTGCTGGGTTATTTGGACGGCATATGATGAGGTAATAATGGCTAATGATTGAATTAATGATGGATTAAGTAGTTAATGATTATGGTGTTGGCTGGTTTACTTGACCGTGATGCTGTGCTTGGAAACTTGGTACTTTCAGATTCTTGTTCTGTTGGTTGGAAATTTAATATGATAATCATAATAATCTGGGTTGAAAGTGATTAAGTGATGATTTAGGATGGTGATTATTGTTAATGACGGAGTAATAATATATTAATGTTGGAAATGAGGATTAGGATGGTGGTTGTATAATTATTGTTGGTTGGTTAAGATGATGATGTTACGTTCTTAGCTTATTATTATTAGTATTAGTAATTAGATTAGATTTGTTTGGTTTACCGGTTCCCTATTGTGGACTGGCTAATGAGTTGAGCCTAGGATTGGATATTGTTTTTGAATCTTTAGCTTGAGGTAAGTTTCTATGTCTATAAAAAATTACTTTGCCATATCTAAATGTGCTATTTATCTGGTTTGTGTCCTTAAACTATTTTGAAAATTTATATTTGGGTTTAAAAGTGTGATAAATAGCAAATGTGTACATTTTGGTTTAACCCTATGATTTACAATTATGATTATGTGTACATTTATCATTGAGGATGTTATGGTAATATGAGTATGAAACTATATGGATTTTGAAGGATAAAAATTATATTCTATTTTGGAGAAAAATATTATTTTGATATAAATCCTGTTTTGGAAGACATGGATATTGATGGGTCATATATACCCTATGTTATTTGAAAATTATGATTTGAATAGCCTACTGGCAAATGAGAATATTTATGGAAACTTCTTTTGGAAAACTATTATTATTTTTGGAGGATGTTATATAAAAATGTATCTATTATGGAGGATGTATATGCATACTATATTATGAGTGGTTATATGAGATGTGGATATGATGTATGGTTGTGGATTGATGGACTTCGGCCTTATTTTGATGAGATTGTATCTGGTAGAAAACATCCTGGGCTACTTGGACTAGTTACTACTCTTTTGAGTGGGGGAAGCCCATTAGGGGGTGTGCACACATAAGGTTTTAGTCCTTTATCCCATGAAAGGTACAAACTTGTGGAGTGGCAGATAGAGTGGATTACCGTGTCACTAGGGTTTAGATGATCAAAAACCCTTTGTCCCTTTCACCTTATATATATGAGAGTATATGGACATGTGGTACTTGAAAAAGTGATTTGAGAAATATGATTTGAATTTCTTCCTATCTATTATTATTGACATATATTTTTTTGATAATGATTTGAGAAAAATCTATATCTTGATATGATGACTTGAAGAGATATATTATTATGCTATTGTGAATTCTCCATATATATTTGTATATGTATATACTATTCTTTGGAAAATTACAATTTGAAATGATACTCATATTGTGAAGTATTATATTGAGAAGTGATATTTTTGAATCCTCCATACTTATATTTATTTTGGGAAATGAGTGAATGATTTATGGAGTAGTTGTACTATTTGGAAAGAGCAAATGTTACTATTTTGGGAACTTTATTACTAATATGAAACCTAATGCTATTTTGAGTAGAGTGTGCTATGGCGTTGGTGCCTTGTTCATTTTGAGAAAACTATTTTGGAAAATGATTTACTACTTACCTTTGGTGATGAGTCAAACTATATTACTGAAATGATTTCAAAACCTATTTACAAAGTATATCGACTTTCAAAAGTATAAATGTAAGTATTTTACAGGGCAGAGTAGAGCTTACTTAGCATTTTATGCTAATCCTATCATTTGTGTTTTCCATCCTTAATTGTTTTCAGGATTTAGAGTTGTGGCTAGTTTGAGAGCGCGACGTAGAGCTCGTAACCTTGGATATGTATTTGGTATAGATTGTTTAGTTTTAGAATCTAAACAGTTGAATTATAATTAACTTGTATATTGGATATTGAGTTGTTGTAATATGGATGTGTAAAAAGAACCTTTGTAGCCTGTGCGTTTGGGCTTAGTTGGTTGCCCAAGCGTGGCATAGCACCCCAATGGTATAGATTCTAATTTTGCTTCCGCATTTGTATTCAGTCTTTTAGTAAGAAAGTCTTTATTTATGGTTTTTAAATTGAGGGTGTTACGCACCTGGCCTGAAACGACACGTAGTTGAGCCACAAGGGCCCGACCACTGCACAAAAACCTCTCAGATCAATACTCAGGGACCTGGGGCGGGACTCCTCATGAGCCGCCCCATGTAATCCGTCACATGGCCGGGCTTAGGCAACGGCCCTTTCCTAGGGCCGTGCCCTAAGCCCGGTTGGCCCCGGCTCTAGCTGGCGGCCCTCCTGATGGGTCACGGCTAGGGCCGCTGCTCTACAGTGTGCACCAGATAGGTATTTTCATATGCAAAATTCAATCCAAGAATGTCCAAAACATTCAAAACATTCTCAACACTTCAAAGACAAATACTAAATCACTTCCATGCTTAAACATAACAAAGTTCCACCATTTTAACTCTTTTCTGCTCAATAAACATAGGCTTCACAAAGGCAAAAGAGATTGGGAATCCATGGGGTTATACCTCTTGTTGCCTCTTCTTTTTGTATGGATCTCTACCTGCTCTTTACTCAAACACCACCTCCTTCACCACCTAAACACCTCAAACAACAAGCACAAGCCAAGACTAAGAAACCTCAAAGATTGAAGGCTAAGAGAAGAGGACCTTAAGATAGGATGGAAAAATGAATGGAGGAGATAAATGTTGAAAACTTACTGTAATGCTTCTTTCTTCTATCAGACAAGAGCTTGCGAGATGCAAGGATGGAGATCAAGGAATAACAAATGGATAGTGTTGTTGATCAAGGAATAACAAATGGATAGTGTTGTTTATATAGGGTGCAAAACCCTAGGTAAAAAAGCCAATGATTGGTTGAGGGCAAAGTGGTAAAAGCTTGGCTAGAGAATGTTCTCAGGCAAAGTTTCTTGGAGTGGTGTGGTTCACCTAGCGTCATGGACCAAGGGCTAGTAATGCAAATTTAAATACTTTGGGGTTGAAAATGAATTTTCTCAAAAATTTTTCTAGATGAACACTTGTTTAAAGTCTCTTTGACTTCTTTCGGTTTCACTCAGATTGGTTTTTCAATTTGAAACTTGGTACGCGAAGTACCCGAAAATTTAGATTTTGAAATAAAATAAGTTTTGGTGTTGAATTAATTTAAAATGTGACTAAAATAATTTATTCAAACACCAATTGATCACAAAATTTTTTTAATGGAGTGAAAATGACTATTGGAATTCCTTAAAATTGAATTTATAAAAATAAAATTTTGGGTTGTTACAGTTGAGATAACCAAGTTTGTTGAAATATATTCGATTATTGAGTATGTATTAATTAAAGTGTACGTGGCGCTACTATGTTTCACTAGGCAGCCTAAAAACTCTCTGTTATTTTGAGGAGTGAGCAGTAGAAGCATATCTTGTCTCACTAGGACTTTTAGTCCTGTTATATTTTGAGGAGTGGTTAGCGGAGTCTACCACTAGGGTATTTACCCTGTTGAGTAGTAGTCAGTAGAAACGTATCCAGACTACTAGGACTAGTTACTACCCATTGGGCTTGGAAACCCGTTGGGGGTGTGCACACTTAAGGTATTAGTTCTGTTCCACTTAAATGAGATTTTTGTGTAGTGTTCAGTAGAGTGAGTACTGTTCACTAGGACTTATTGAATAAGACCTTGCCCATTATTTGGTTGGTTTAGATGGGATTTTTGCATAGTGTCAGTGATTACTGTTCACTAGGGCTTAAGTAATTAAGACCCTGCCCATTATTTGATTTGATATTCCTCCATATTTCCTAAAAATGATTTCTTTTGGAAACGTGTTATTTTAAAAGGATCGTTTTGAAATCTTAAGTTGAGAAAATCTCTATGTGGGATGTGATGTGAAGTAAGTGTTATGTAGAAGTTGAGAACTGTTAAGCCTTGTGGCTAATTGTTTTGGAATGTGAATTATATATACTGTATTAAACCCGTTTTACAGGGTGGAGCAAGCCTTACTTAGCAATGTTTTGTTAATTTTATTGTTTTGTGTTTCTCTTATTTGTGATTTGTGCAGGTGAATGAATAAGTTGTTGGCTGAGAGCGCGCGATAGAACTTAGTAGTTGTTCCATTTATGATGTTTTAGAGTGGTTGATTCAGATTGTATTTCTTTCTTTAATTTTTGGATTAAGTTGGTGATTGAATGTTATGGTTTAGAGCCTTACATCTAGGTAGTGTTAGATTAGATGTGGCGTATTCACCCTCATTTATTATTAAGGACATAAATTTGTTTTGATAGTTGATTTGTTACTTAATTTCTAAATTGAGGTATGCACTCTTCAGGAATTCTATTTTTAGCAGTTTCTATTTTTAGTAAGTTTGTTTATAGTTTGTTTTAAGAATTAAATTTGAGGGTGTTACAAATTGGTATCAAAGCTTAGGTTAAGCCATGACAAACTAGAGTTTAGGTTATGAAAACTAGGCTATAAAAGCCTAGGTTACGAGCCTTTAGGAATAAGAAACTGTGTTGGAAAGTTTAAGATGTGAACTCTTGAGTATAGGAAGTAGGATTGACTAAAGACTTAAGAAAATATATAATAAATAAATAAATAAAGAGAAGGGGTATTGGTTAAAGCCTTATGATTTTAAGATTTTCCTAGGTGATAGGGTGAATCAAAATGAAGAGACCTAGGAAACCACGGTGAGAATGTGAGTTTCACTATATTTGTCTTTCGAATTGGAAACGTATGGCCAGAATTAATTGTGTTTTGAATGATACCCGCATGCGAAAAGAGGCTATTCTTTGAAGATATGATTCCTTGATGGAATGTGGTATAAATGTTCAAAGTTTTGTAACTGTGTTAATTTGAGAATCTACTTGTCGTTAGTATGAGAGTTTTGGAAAAAAAAAAAAAAAACAGTGGCTATTGCACCCTGGAAGTGTGCATCTTTCTGGTGAGTCCTTGGTTGCTAGAAAAGTGGTTATTTCTTTATGATTTATTAAAGATATATGAGCAAAAATTGGAAAATTTGTGTATACTTTGCTTCTATGTGCCTATTTGCGTATGAAATTTTTAGGGTAAGAAATACCCTTAGATGAGTGTTAGTGACAAGAATGCCTATTATTGTGTAGAGAGTCACTATGCCGCTAAGAAGGGACGTTGAGAACCAAGGTTCCCAAGGAAATAATGCCCCTACTAATTCTCAGCTAGCCGAGGGATTACAACAGCTGACTCAGTTCACCCAAGTCTTGGGAAATGCGTTGCTTAACAATCAAAATGGGAATGACGTGGCTAAACGAGTGGCATCACGCCATCCTCCAAACTTCTTTGGACAAGAGGATCCCGTCATCATGGAAGGCTGGATCCGGACATTTGATAAGTTGTTTGATGCCATAAACTACCCAATGGAACAAAGAGTGGACACAGCTACATTTTACCTTCAGCAGGAGGCTGATAACTGGTTGGCTAGTGTTGGACCAGTACTACGCCAGCAACCCGACTTTGGTTGGGAGAATTTCAAGGTGCAAATGAGAGAAAGGTTCTACCCAGCACATGTCAAGATGGCTAAATATGATGAATTCCTGCATCTTAGACAGGGAAACATGACAGTGCAAGAGTATTATGCTAAGTTCTTGGAACTAGCACAGTTTGCACCTGCTCTAGTTCCAGATGAGCCTAGTAAGGCTGAGAAAATTGTTAATGGATTAAATTTTGAGACACGGAAGATTTTATCTGCGATGACATTCCCTACCCTATTCGCGGCGTATAACAGTGCAGCCAATCATTACTGGTTGGAACAGATTCAGAAAGACGCAATTGGGAGGAACAAAAGGAAGATAGACGAAGATGTCCAGCAAGAGAATAGGCGACCTAATTTGAACCCTGTGGAGCCACACCAAAATTTTCAAAGGAATGGTAATAATAACAAATGGGGGACCGACACTTTAATTGTTGGATATGCAAGAGGGATCACCCTGGAACAGATTGTCAGGGAAATTTGGTAAAATGTTATAATTGCAATAAGATGGGACACAGAGCCTATCAATGTTATGCTAAGAAGAATGGAGATACTCAAAATCAGTGGTAGAACAGGAATATAAGTAATCAGAATGGGAGTAGAACCGGCAATCCTGAAAACAGAAGTGGAAATGGTAATGGAAATCACAATAACGTCTACAAGAATGGGAACGACAACAATTATAAGCAGAATAGAAATGGTGGGAACGAAAACAACTATAACCAGAATAGAAATGGTGGCAACGGGCAAGGACGGATCCTTGTTATGAACAGAGCCCAAGCAAAAGCAAACGATGTGGTTTCAGGTATATTCTTAGTGAATTCTATACCTGCGTATGTATTGTTTGACTCGGGTGCGTCAAATTCATTTATATCTTCAACTTTTGTTAACAAACTGGGGATAGAGCCTACCTCTAAGATAAAGATAAATGTAAAGATAGCCTCAGGTAGAGTGATGATTTGTGAGGATATGTATGAAAACCTGTCAATTGTTATTGCCGAAACAAACTTTCCTGGGGACTTAATACAGTTTGAATTAGAGGATATAGATGTGGTGTTAGGAATGGATTGGTTAGGCAAGTTTAAGTCCAAAATCATATGCGATGAACAAAAGGTGATTTTAAGAGGCACCAATGGGAAACGGGTGTCATACAAAAGAACTACAAGTAAACCAGAGGTGAAATTGGTGACCATGCAGAGGATGAAGAAGTATGTGGAAAAAGGCCATGAAGTTTACTGGTGTATGATCAAAGATTTGAACATAGAGGAGGAGGTGATCAACCAAATTCCAGTGGTAAGAGAATTCCCAGATATATTTTCGGAGGAGATTCCTGGGATACCGCCAGACCGAGAGGTGGAATTCTCGATCGACTTGGTACCAGGAACTGAACCAATTTTGAAGACACCATATAGAATGGCACCCAAAGAGATGCAAGAACTGAAGGAGCAGATACATGAATTATTGGACAAAGGCTACATAAGGCATAGTGTTTCGCAATGGGGTGCTCCAGTTTTATTTGTAAAGAAAAAGGATGGTGGACTAAGATTATGTATCGATTATAGAGAATTAA